AGTGGGGACGCTGTCTGCTCTGTGATACAGAGTCCTGATGACTCCTAACTTGTGCTCCAAAGGGTGATTTCTTTGTGAAAAGAAATCGTCCATCATTAAACAGAGGTGGAGTCCTCCATGTTCAACTGTCCCCCTCTTATAATGCTGTTATTGCTAGTATCACTCAGCCTCCTGTGAATAGTAAACAGCCATCAGTGTGCTAATGATCCATTGTTAAGCTGATGGTCTTCCTTGAACATATGAGCAGCTGGTTTTGGTTGTCAGCAGCAAACTGGTTGATCCACAATGAGAAGGTGATATTTATAAGACTGAGCTGAATACAGCACCTCAGACTGAGGAAGTCTTTTGGACAAAACTTTTTTCTTTTTTTTTTGTGCTTTTGTTTTTTGAATGTCCAGAGAACCAGACATAACTTTTTTAGATTTTTCTACCTGGATTATTGAGCATGCATCAGGATATACATAAGTAGAAAACAAATATTTTAACTTGTAAGTATTAAAATTGCCTTATTTCTGAAACACTAATGTATTATATTAAGTAATTTATGTGTAGTCAAAGAGACTACACCTTTTGGCAAAGTTGTTCTCCGATCTAGACCTTAATGCAAAACTTCAAAAGAAAAGTAAGAGTTGGAGGAAAAAGAAACTGGGTATCAGTAAAGTAATTTGCAATAAAACATGTACAAACTTATTTTTCACCAGCTAACAGTTGTTTGGTTTGGGTGGGGTTTGTCCTTCCAGCAAGCTCATATGGATGAAGAGGAGAAAAAGCAGAAGAGGCAGGCAGATGAGGACAATGCTCATGCATCAACATCTTCAGACTCTAGGAAACCAAGGATCAAAAAGAGCACTTATTTCAGCGATGAGGAGGAGCTCAGTGACTAATGATTTACAGACTTTTCAAAATGTATATTTTTATAAAATAAATTGCAGTTGTGTTGCTGTGGGAAAAGAAAATGCATTATCTTTTGAGTTTCTTCACCATTTTGCTATTTTTTACAGTTCAACTCTGCAGCCACTGCAGTGCATTATATTTAAATGTAATGGCTTGGTTTCATGATTGGGTTTTATTCAGTTAGTTGCTCTTGATAAAGAATTGTTTGGGAATCCCTCTCATCCTCTGTTTCTCAAGTGTTTTTGATGTCTGCCGATGTCGGCATGCAAAGTTAGGTCAGGAATGCCACAATATGTGCAGCATGTCTGCTGTGAGAATAATGCAAAATAAACATTTAAGGATTTGTTCTACAATGATCTAAGGTAGAATTCTGTGTTGATTGAGAGGAAAAACTGGCAGATTAGATCAGTGAGAAGGATACTAGTATAAGTGCTGTACAAAGGAGTTTTACCTAATTTCACAAGAAGAATAAACAGGATTGTGTACCCCAGTGGTGCAAAACCAAAGGAAATGTCTACGTGTAAAACTCAATTATGTTGTGTTTAATGTTATATTATGTTAATGCTTTTCATTCCTTCTTTATGATCTTTATTGTTTAAATTTGTAATGTTTTTGTATCCAATGTGAATAAAACGAAGCTGTGCTATTTTTTTCTTCCGTTTGCGCTCACATTTTTGTTTAGCATTAGCAAAATATCACATAAACCACTGAAGAAATTTTTACGAAACCCGCTCGACTTAAAATATTGAAACATTTAGCGAACATAATGGGAAGCGCGATTTTACGAGGTGTACGTGAAGGCGGCATTGATTCATGGTGAGGAATGTCAGCCTCGGGAAGCAACTCGACCTCTGATTGGCCATATTGAGTCACGTGTTTATTTCCCAAGCGGAGTTTCCACGACAGCTGGAAGCCGAGCGGCTAAGGCGCATCGCTTCTTTGCTAAAATATTCTGAAATAGCCGGACTTCTGCTCGTCTCAGCTCCTTCCAGATTAACCCTGGTCTGGCATGGGCGACAAGAGGAGCCCCACAAGGTAACCACAACCCGAAATATTTTACCTAGGGAAGGGGAGCTGACACAAGCTAGCGCACGGGAGTGAAAAAAAGGTTTTTCTCCGCGGTCTCTCCCTCTCTCGTGCTCCCTCTGTGTATGAGCGCGTGCGATGTCTCCGCGCGCGGGTGTTAGGGAAAAAAAAAAAAAAAAACTCAACGGCAATTACAGTGTCAGATCACCGCGCGCTCGCAGATGATTTCCTAAATCCCATATAGGCAGATGTTATCGATAGTCTCCTCGAAGGGGAGTCAAACTCACTCGTGTCTCGTTTTCTGTCCTCCCTCCCACATTATCTCCTCTTTTAATCCTCCCCCCCCCCCTTTTTTTTGTTTTGTTTTTACATGTATTGTCTTTTAAAGGCCGAAGCGTCAACCGAAGCCCTCCTCCGACGAGGGGTTTTGGGACTGCAGTGTGTGCACCTACAAGAACACGGCGGAGGCTTTTAAGTGCATGATGTGTGATGTCAGGAAGGGGACATCAACAAGGTAAGGGCGATGGATGGATATTAGCTTTGATGTGTTGAGCATTAGCGGGCTCTGAGGGGGGTCTCTGGGGGCCGCCCCCACCACAACCCCCAGCTAAAAGGCACTTTGTCACGAAGGCCTTTCTCTCTTTTCACTTTGCTGTTTATGCCACTAGATGATTGAGGCGTTTATAATATAACTGTCGATTAAATAAGATTATTTTCTTGAGCTTTAACCAGTTTTGGGATGCCTCTTTTTTTTTTCCTAGTCATTTTTTTTATTATTTTGCATTCTGAGTACTTCTGCAAGCTTTGCGCTGTTTTTAGTCATTTATGTATTTAAAAAAAAAAAGTCCAGCTCATTCAGGAAATGGGCACGTTTAGATTCACTATTTAATTTTCCTCGTAAATACATTTATATCTACTTAGTGCATTTAAAATTGTCGTCTTCATTTTTTACTTTTTGCTGAGCTTTTTACCTTTTTAGCTGCTGTTGAACTACTTTTTACTTTTAGCTGAACTTTTGTCGCATACTGTTTTGCTACTTTTAGCTTATACCCAGCATTTGGAAAATTTCAGCCTCTTGCCCGCCTTTTAATACTTTACTTATTTTAGTTAGCCTTTAGCTAATTTTTGCTTTGTATTTAACCAACAGGTCTTTTTCACAGCAGGTATTTTGACTTGAAAGAGGAGGAAAAGCAAGGCGTGTTAACGAGGACTGTGTTAGCATTTTTACAGAAGTGGAATGCAGCCCTCATTAACACACCTGCGCTCTTTTAAAGTCAAAAAGTGAAATAAGCCTTTCATTACATTTAGCTTGTAACTAGCTTTTTGCTGCTTTTAGCTTCTAGCTAGCTTTTTGATGTTTAGCTTCGAGTTAGCATTTTATTATTTTAGCTATTAGCTCTTTATTACCTTTAAATTTTAGCTAGATATTTACTACTTTTCTAGCCATCCTTTTGCTACTTTTATATAATCTTTTACCACAGCTAGCTTTTGCTCATTTAGTTTTTAGCTAAGCTTTTGATACTTTTGGCATTTACCTAACATTTTGCTGCGTTTACTTAGCCATTTGCTACTTGAAACAGACCGTGCACATTAATTAGCATATGTTTACCTTGTAAATGTGTCCGATTTAGCCACAAGGACTACGTTTCATCCGTAGTCCTGGGCAGGATGATGGTAGGACTCATAAAAAGGAGTAAGATGTTTCAAAATACACAAACAAAAGCTAACTGCACTAGTTAAAATCTCAAAAAGTACATATAGAAGTACAGTGAAGATATAAAAGTACACGCGTACAGATAGTAAAGGTTACAGGTTTAATGTTCCTTCGGCTAATGTGTCGGATGAGCCTGAAAGGTGGACTTAAGTGCGTACATCGTAACAATTGCTCTTTATGTAATATTTTTTATTTTTTGTTTCCCTGGAGATAATGAGCAGAAAGTAAAATATACTCAAAATTAAATGAATAGCACAAACGGTGTACACTAGTGCTGATATTTTCCCCCTGACTGCAGTGATTTCAAGCAGGAAATTACAGTTATTCCTGAGTGGCGGCCATTATCGGAGGGAAAACAACAAAAGTGTAAAAAGAAGGAAGTGAAGCTCAGTGTGTTGTATGATCTTTAATGCATCGCTAATTACTTTCCTCTGCATTAGCACAACTTTCCAATAATTAAGCAACAACATCAACAACAACGGATCTTTGCGGTGTGTTTTTTGTCTGTCTGTGTGTGATTTTTGTTTATGCCTTTGTGAGTGGGAGGGCGAGTTGGTGAAAAGAGGTTCTCAGAGCAGCTGCCAGACAGACAGCCATAGCTCATTACTATGCAACAGCTTAATCAGCCTGCTGTCTGAGGGGGTAAACACATGCACACACTCACGCCCAGATGCGCCCATCATGCAGATTTTCAGCATGACCGCATGCATATTTCTGCACACACAAACAGTGGTGTGCGCCGTTATTTGGGTTTACTTTAAGTGGCAGATACGCTCCTGTCACTCTGCATAGTCGCAGCTGTGCGTTGTTTTTTTTTTTTTTTGAGGACAGTTGAGCTCTGCCAAGAACTTGTCTGAATCCTTATGACGCATCCTTTGTCTTCCCCATCTGGACTTTTTTTTTTTATATAGGAAGGGAGAAGATGGCAAGGACACAAGAGCACAAATCCATGTCCACACACCTGCTGACGCTCAAGCGGCAAATTTAGAAAATGTCCGCAAGAAGGTCTTGTTTAATGTCAACAACCTCTCTCCGAACTGAAGGGCTGCAGAAATACTGTAGTAATGGTGTGGTTGTGCTCTTGCAGAAAGACACACACGCAAGTCAGGTTGGGCTGCAGTGAAAAATGACCACACAGGTGGTCACAGTTCATAACCAAACCTGCCCGATAAGTGGATTTCTCCGTTAGCAAGAAAGGTGGTAAAGGGCAAACGACATGCAGAATATAAATGTGGGACACGGCAAATTCCTACACTGGTTACTAAATAAGCATGACTGAGCTATTGCTGCGAAGCGGTGAATTAATGCTCCACAGGGGCATCACGGAGTGACCAGTTTTCAGAGGAAGCGTCCCACGGCAGCTAACGTCTGCTCTGATGCAGGAGCTCCAACCAGCCTATGCTGTTTTTTTTTTTCCTGTTCAGACATGAAGATGAATGTTTTATGAAGGCAAGCTTTAGCAGATCTTGCAGTCTAGATTCCTGTGATGTGGTAAGATGATCTACTGCAGGGGTCCAAAGCCGGCAGCTGGAAGCAGGACGTCTGTGATTCTGACAGCATCCAGCAGAACCGGACTGGCCTCAGTAGATTACACTTTGACTAACTGTCAGCTGGTTGACGCGTCATTAATTCTGTCGGCTCACAAGTCAAACCGTCACAAGTTTGCAGGTTTTGCTCTAAATTTCCTCCAAGGTTTCCTGTAGCTGCAAACGTGACACAGTCGTGGACTCGTTTCTGCAAATTAATCTAAAAAAATAAAATAATAATTACTCCTTTTACTGCAGAGCTGCAAGTTCCCAGTACTTAATTAAAACTGTCTTAGAGGAGACAACATATCATGCAGTCTAATTATATTAAGACTTTGCTAAGAAAAAGAGGGAGAGATGTTTTATCTTCCATGCAAATGTCGGGCTCAGACCCAGCGTTTGAAAACGGGCGCTGCAGCAGCTGGAGGTCACGGTGCAGTGGTGAGATTGTGCTACTTGGAGAGCTTATTTGATAACTGAAAGGCAATGTATCCTTGTTTTCATACAATAGCTGTAATACCCAGGTCCTTGAGACCCCAAGCAAAGCACAGAAGGCCTCACTGCACCTAATATGACTTGCTCTGGATTAGGATAGCTCTCTAATGCTTTAAGTATTCAAAGAAAACCACAAGACGTGTTCCAGAGTGGGTCTCCTGCTTTACGTTTCAAACAAAAATTAAAGCTTTATTCTGTTGATGTGTAAATACAGCTTTAAATATAAGTGATTACACGATACATTAGCGCAAAAGTAGTTATGAGCTTAGGTATGCGTTCACATAGATGTACACCAAACAAAAATATAAATGCAACATTTTTGTTTTTGCTCCTATTTTCCATGAGCTGATTTCAAAGATCTAAGACTGTTTCTGTGTACACAAAAGGCCTTTTTCTCTCAAATATTGTCCACAAATTAGTGTAAATCTGCGTTGGTGAGCACTTCTCCTTTGGATAATCCATGCACTGCACAGGTGTGGCATATCAAGATGCTGGTTAGACAGCATGATTATTGCACAGGTGTCCGAGGGCGTCTGAAAACCGGTCAGTACCTGGTGTGGTCACCATTTGCCTCAGGCATAGTATCTCATCTCTTCACAGAGAGTTGATCAGGTTTTTGATTGTGGCCTGTGGAATGTTGGTCCACTCTTTAATGGGCTTAAGAAGTTGCTGGATATTGTCAGGAACTGGAAGACCCTGTTGTATACGCTGATCCAGACCATCCCAAACATGCTCAATGGGTGACATGTCCAGTGAGTACGCTAGCCATGCAAGAACTGGGATGTTTTCATCTTCCAGGTATCGTGTACAGATCCTTGCAACATGGAGTCGTGCATTATCATGCTGCAACATGAGGTGATGGTCGTGGATGAATGGAACAACAATGGGTCTCAGGATCTCATCATGGTATCGCTGCTTTCAAAATGCCATCAATAAAATATACCTGTGTTTGTTGACCATAACATACGCCTGCCCATACCATAACCCCACCGCCACCATGGGTTACTTGATCCACAACATAGACATCATGCAGTTGAGCTTCCCTGAGACAGTTTCTGACAGTTTGTGCAGAAATTCTTTGGTTATGCAAACCGATTGTTGCAGCAGCTGTCTGGGTGGCTGGTCTCGGATGATCTTGGAGGTGAAGATGCTGGATGTGGAGGTCCTGGGCTGGCGTGGTTACACATGGTCTGTGGTTGTGAGGCTGGTTGGATGTACTGCCAAATTCTCTGAAATGTCTTTGGAGGTGGTTTATGGTAGAAAAACATTCAATTCACAGGCGACAGCTCTGGTGGACATTCCTGCAGTCAGCATTCCAGTTGCACAATCTGAAACCTTGCAACATCTGTGGCACCATGCTGTGATAAAACTGCACATTTTAGAGTGGCCTTTTATTGTGGTCAGCCTAAGGCACACCTGTGCAGTAATCATGCTGTTGAATCAGTATCTTGATATGCCACACCGTTGAGGTGGATGTATTATCTCAACAAAGTAGAAGTGCTCACTAACACAGATTTACACATTTGTAAAATATATTTGAGGGGAAAAAAGGCGTGTGTGTGTGTGTGTGTGTGTGTACACAGAAAGTCTTAATATTTGAGTTCAGCTCATGAAAAATGGGAGCAAAAGCAAAAGTGTTGCGTTTTATAATTTTGTTCAGTATATTTTGACATATTTATCACTTTCTGAAATAAATAAGCTAAATAAATACATAAACGGACAGACAACAACTACTGTAATTTTACAGTTAGATTCATTGTCACTCTTTTTTTTGCATAT